ATGGTGATGGTGAGGGTGATGTGATGATTGCCACCCCCTAATTCAAAATGGGTTTTAAAGGGAAGGTATAATTTTGGGTGGATTTGGGTCAATGTATTTTTATTATTAGGGGGGCATTTAATAAAAGGGGGAAGGGATTATGATTATTAACATTATTAACATTATCATAATGATTATTCTTCTTCTTATTTAGTTTTTATTCTCTTGTATATACTTATTATTATAGTATCCTTTTTTTTGGGTGGGGGCCTTTTCTTTTTTGGCCAGCGGGGCGTGGGTTGGGCGGGGTGCGGGGTGCGGGCGAGGGGGGGGGGGGGCTCGAGGCCCAAGTCTTTACATACCAATGGGCTTCGAACCAATAAACAGGTGCAAGCAGCATACCGTATTGACATGACTTAGATTGGACTTGATGCGATCTGTCATACAAGCATTGTATGAATCTATCTTATATTGATATTAATTCACTATGGTATGCATATTGAGGTAAAACAAAGTCTTACATCAATAGTAAATTCCAGTCTTGGGAATATTGCGAAATATGTTACAAACCAGTCTAACGTTATATCACAAAGACTCGTATTGCTAGATGACTGTATGAATACTATATCAAGAATATGCAGAACTTGGCTAATATGTAAATAGACAACTACTCTTGCTTACGGTTGTTATTTTACATTAACAATGTGAATATTTGTCTCTATTCGGCTATGGTACAGAATAGTATATCATGTAACGAAGCCCTACAGCATATTATATACACCATATCATGTTGTATTCTATTCTGTTTGATAGTACTATGTTATAACACAATGTTAGAAAAAGATCATTATAGGATAGCATATATATATACACACAGAAATATGTATATATATATATACACACACTATAGGATAATTGAGTTATGTTGTATTATGTTACATTATATTGTTTGAAGTATTTCTTTTCGAGTATTTTGACAACAAAAAGTTTCATGTCACAACACTGAAACATAATATGTATATATTATAGTATATTCGTTAATATCATCTTATACTAGATTGCCTTTAAACTATACTATATGGTACTTTCTCCATCATAATATAATACCATACAATACTGAAGAATCATTCAAAATGCATACTCCCTGTGTGTGTGTACAAAACCATACAATACCAAAGAAACTTCATAATATAACAGAGTATAACCCAATATCATGCAATGTGAGTTCATGCAGTAAACTGTAATCTACGAATTGAGGCATGTTATCTCACAGGGTATGCATTCTAACATATCATGCTAAAACATGACAGACTAGAAAACAACATAGCATGATATGATATAACCAATCTAGCATAACATATTATAGTCGAACAACACGTACTGTTCTGGAGTCTGGTACGCCGTGGCGGTGTGTATTTGCTGCAGAAGGCATTCTACAGGGTAGGTACAGGGGGTAGTTATAAGGTATTCTATTCTCGATATGCATCTCTCTCTAAATACGCTTCGGTTTGTTCAAGGAGTCCCTAGACCCTAGATTCCGATTCCGCATTTCATTCATATGAATCCCTTCCCCAGTAAACTACGATCCAACTGGGGGCGGGGAAACCTGAAGGTGTGTCTTTTTTTTTGTTCCCCCCTCCCCCACGTATGCTTTGGAGTAGGACAGACTACGGAGTCCCACTGACTGAGCCTAGTCCATTCGTATCTAGAATATGCACGAGCAGTAGATGTTTAGAGCACACTGGAATGTTCCAAACCAAGAACGTCAAGTAAGCTGACGACAGGAATCCTCAATGACAAAATCCATGCAAAACATGATTCCCGCAAATGCACACCGCCCTGGCGTACTATTCTGAAATTCTAAAGCCCTAAACCATAAAACCCTAAACCCCTAAACCCCTAAACCCAAAACCCCTAAACCCTAAGACCCTAAACCCTAGCTAAACCTTTTACCTTTAAACCCTAAAAACCTAAACCCTAAACCCTTAAACCCTAAACCCCCAAAACGAGGTCCGGGCTCGGGCTGTGACGTGCGGTCCGTTTGCCACAGGGGGCAGACCAAAGAAAAGACCAAAAAACAAAAAACACCAAAAAAAGCAGAAGCAAATTCTCCATCCTTTTTCTAGTCCTCCAAGTCCTCTTAGTTCTCCCAGTGCTCCTACTATTCCCGCCCCTCCTTCTCCTCCTCCTTTGATTATCCTGCTCTTACTACTCCAAATGCCCCTACTCTGTCCACTCCGACGACTCCTGCTCGTAACTCTGCTCCTAATCCTGCTGAGGGCACTGTTGCCACCAGCACCACGCTTGCTGCTGAACCTCCTCTTGCAAATCCAATTTGCAATCTTGGTGCCACTTGCCCTGCCACGGCTGTAGCTACTGCTAGCATGTTCGTGGTTGCATCATTTAGCGCGAACATTGTCATGTTCCGGTCGTCGTCGTCGTCGTCATCTTCTCGATGTTATCGTCGTTTCTGTCGTCGTCGCCGCTGCAGTCGTCGCGGGTCGACTGTCGTTGTCGTCGCCCCTTGTCGTCATCATTGTCGTTGTTGGCCTGATGGGTGTCATTGGTTTAGGGTTTAGGGTTTATTGTGATTGTGTGTCACCGCTTTGTTGGGATTTTCTAGAGTTCTCAGTTGGTCGTGCGGAAGTGCGGAATGATGGGTGATTTGCTACCATCACATGGCTCAGGCTGCCCCCATGCTCTTCCCCATGTACACCGTCCCCGCAGACGAGCTACTCAAGATGACGAAGGTCGAGCCGCACGAGAAATTGAAGGCCGCAGGGAAAGTCGGAATTGAGAGTCGAGCGAGATTAGAAGCATGTGGGGCTTGGCTGTGACGTCATGTGAACATGTAGTTTGTGGGAACCCCGGCAACCAGCAACTTGCAGAGCACAGTTATTCTAAATCCAAAATCCTAGTCAAATCCTATCCGGGCGGTGATATTCGCGGCTCGATCTCTCCTCTTGAGCATCCGCATCCTACAGCGCGAACTGTTCGTTAACTTTTGCCCTCATCCATCCTGCTTCAAGGCCTTGGGCACGCTCGTGGACTTCAGCGACGGCTTGGGAAAGGCGGCGTTCGTTTCGCACCAGTGGCTCACAAAGAAACACCCAGATCCCGAGTTCAGGCAGATGCACACTCTGCAGGATGCCGTAAAGCGGATCTTGAACAGCACCGGGTCTCTTTCCCTGGACCCCGCCACGGAAGCCGTGGTGCCAACGGCCAAGCCCCGTCCCATGAAAGACTTTCAGGCCAAGGCATTGTTCTTCTGGTACGACTATTTCTCATGTCCGCAGCTACACCATGCGAGTGAATATGTCGTACAAAAAACAAACAGCCGCCTTCAGCAAGCCGATGCCATCAGCAGCATCCCAGCCTACGTTGCCAGGTGCGAGTTTTTCCTTGCAGTTTGTCCGGTACTCGACTGCCCCGTCGAGAGCAAGGTGCTAACGGCAGCGACCTGGAGCAGGAGGGGGTGGTGCCGCCTGGAACGCGCGGCACGAGAGCTGTCGCCAAACAGCACTTGGATTCTTGTTCGAAGCGAGACTTCCATTGAAACTGTTGGCACGCTGTTGTCGTTTCCGAGTGGATGGGTTGGGGAAGGCGAGTTCGGGGTCGTGGAGGATCGGCAGAAGCTGGCCCCGGTGATGCAGAAGATCCTCATGCAGAAGCTGAACCACTGCCTGCGTGTGGGCGACCTGCCCGCATTCCGGCGCCATTTCAACCTCCAGACGGTGTATTTGCGCGGGCTTGAGATTGCGCCAGCGGCCGGCCTGCTACCCAGCTGTGAAGGTGGATATGACGTGGTGGCGGAGTTCCTACACCAAAACGGTTTGAGGACGGTTGGCTCTGCCGACAGCGCTGGGTGGCGGCCTCTGCACTACGCGGCACTGGGCGGCAATGTAGAGGTACTGCGAGGCCTGCTGGAGAAGCGCACCGACGTGAACCGGCGCACGTGGAAGGATGAGCCGATGTTTGGCTTTCCCCCCTGGATGTCCGCATTGGATCTAGCAGTGTTTTTGAAGCACCAGGGGGCCACACGGTTGCTTCTCGAGGCGAGAGCCCACCTTGAGGGTGGCACTGCACCGGCTATCCTGCATGCGGCCTGTGGAGACAATGCCGAAGGTATCCGGCTGCTGTGTGCATTGGGTTCCGGTCCGCTGGCCCGTAATCTACTTGGCCCCAGTTGCTTGCAGTGCTCGGCGGCCCTTGCAGCCACAGAGGCCCTAGAGGAGCTGGGGGTTCAGGGAGGGCCAGGCTCGCTGGATCTTTCTCGGGCGCTCTTCGAGGCCACGCTTTTGGAGGGCGGCACGGCTGAGCTGGTGCACCGGTTGATCGCCCTTCGCGCGGATGTCGACTTCCAGTCCAATGTGCCACGTGACTATAAGACACTTGGCCGGCTGGTCCTTGCAGCGAAGTCCTGGCAACACCGACGCGGCCGTACCAGTGCACTAACTGCCATCGCCTATCACTTGCATGGCAGCACGCCGCTGATGCAGGCCATCAGGTCGGCTCAATTTGACGGCGCCGCGGCCCTGATCGCTGCCGGCGCCAGACTGGATCTCTGCAATTGCCGGAAGTGGACCGCGGCGGACTTTGCTCGCGGCCAGTCGATCCCGCACTTTTTGCAGCTTGGCCTGGAGGGGGACCCGTCGGAGTGCCGAAGGGTGTCCTCGCTCGCAGTGTCGGCCGGCTGCTTCACGATTTGATTTGGACTGCAGCGAAGACCGCAGAACCTTTGCGGAAGTTTGGGGACACAGCTTCATGATGCAGCTTCCCAAGTGAATAGCTTGCACAACCATTTGGCTCTGCTGTGGGTGAAATTGTACGTTTTCAATGGCGACAGACCCCGTAGAAAGTGCAAGGGCACCTCTTCAATGCGTAATTCCGGAGAGAATGGTGTCCTTGCTTTGCGTTTTGATTCAAGTTTTCAATGGCAACTAGCTGGCGGAACCCTCCCGAAAGTGCGAGGGCATAGCTTCATGGTGAAACCATTTGCGGCAAGCATGCTCATCCAGTCTTAAAGTGTCAGAACTGCGAGCGTGATTCCTGAATACACGCAGCTCTTTCTCCTCGGTGTCGGGACTCCAGAGTAAACCCTAAACCCTAAAATCCCTTAAATCCCTAAAACCCTAGAATCCCCAAAATCCCTAAAACCCCAAAATCCCTAAAACCCAATTCCGAAGCCAGAGTGAGCCTGCTCAGGTGTCCAACTAAGCCCCCGGGTCCCTTGAATCGCCTTGAGCCGATGAACCCTCAGCCCGTCTAGAAGGGCTCCGCAGGGTTACGAAAATGGTTCAACTCCGAAGTTTACTATAAGGGTGATACGGTTATACCCTAAAGGTTACTGGAAGGGTTCTACCCTAAAGAGTACTATAAGGGTTCTACCCTAAATGTTACCATAAGGGTTCTACCCTAAAGGTTACCATAATCATAAGGGTTACCCCCCAACTAAACCCTAAAGCCCAACCCTTAATGTAAGGGTTCCAGACCCAGAGGAGATCAATGATTTATGAATCTGGGTTCTTGTTAAGGAGTCTAATTTAAGTTACCATAATAGGGATCTAGAGTACATAATAATATGGTTTCCTTATTATGGTAACTTAAATCAAATCCCCTAACAAGAGCCCAGTACTTGGTGGAAGAAGACTTTGCTTGGCAGCTCAGCAGAAAGAGGCAGCCCCGGTTGGGACGAAGATCCCGACGTTTAGGGTTTAGGGTTTAGGGGGGTTTAGGGTTTAGGGCCTTGCGCATCTTTAATTGAATTGTGAGTGTTTAGATCGTTTGTACTCGCATAGTTTACAAGCTAGTCCTGTCGCTCGATTATCATATTCATCGCTGTTGCACTGACCGCCATAGGCTAGCATGGTATTTTGTCACTATAAAACACTACTACTTGTTTTCTTAACGTTGACACATTGACCCCAAAACCCTAGCAGCTAGACCCTAAACCCTAAACCCTAAACCCCTAAAGCCTAAACCCTGAACCCATGGTCCTTTGCCAGGTCCAGCGCCGGGGCTCAGCGAGCTTTGTACCAGGCCAGGGTGCATAGGGTCTGGGGCCACTACCTGGGGTTTAGGGTTTTAGGGTTTAGGGTTGTAGGGTTTAGGGTTTAGGGTTTAGGTACAAAGTTCTGTGGGCGGCTTTGCTCTCTGGACACTTGGAGTTTCTCTGCTTCGTAGTTTTTTGCTCTCTCACACAACTTGGAGTTTTCCGAACCCCCAACCCTAAACCCTAAACCCTAAACCGTTGCCATTCGCATGCCATGGCTTGCCGCGTTTCCGGGCAGTCCCGGATGCCTCTGGAGATCTATGCCCAGTCGCTGCCCGACGACGCAGATGCCCCTGGGCATCATGTACTGGGTTCCTGTTAAGGAATTTAATTGAAGTTACCATAATAAGGAGACCCTATTATTTACTCTAGATCCATATTATCTTAACTTAAATTATGTCCCTTATTATTTACTATAGATCCATATTATCGTGACTTAATTTAAATCCCCTAAGAGGAAATCCGTATAGTTGTCATCGCTCCCTGCGGCCTCTCTGCTCTGAGGCACTGTTGCCAAAGGAAACCTGCGTTTGCCGTGTGCTCCGATAGCAAAAACAGTTTTTTTCCAGAAGGGCGTTGGTGGCTTGAATACCGGCCTCTTATTGCGCTGTGTCTACTCCGGCATCATCATCATCATCGTCATCATCATCATCATCATTGCATCAGCATCAGCCTCATCATTGTCATCAGAATTATCATCAACATCGTCTTCAGAATCATCATTATCTACTACTGCTTCTGCTACTGCCACTGCTGCTGCTGCTGCTGCCACCACCACCACCACCACCACCACCACCACCACCACCACGGCGACGACGGCGACGACGGCGGCGACGACGACGACGACTACTACAACGACTACGACGACGACGACGACGACAAAGACGACGACGACGACGACTACTACTACGACGACGACGACGAAGACGACGACGACTACTACTACTGCTACCACTTCTACCACCACTTCTTCGACTACGACTACGACGACGACTACGACGACGACTACGACTACGACGACGACGACGACAACGACTACGACCACGACGACGACGACGACCACTACTGCCACTACGCCTACTACTACTCCTGCTCCTACTCCTCCTCCCCTCCTACAATTCCTGCTCCTACGTCTACTCCTACTCCGACTCCGACTCCTGCTCCTGCTCCTGCTTCTACTCCTAATGCTACTGCTGCTGCTGGTGCTGCCACTGCTACCACTACTGCTACTTCTGCTCCTACTCCTGCCCCTGCTTCTGCTACTGCAGCTACTGCTGCAGCCGCGTCTTTCCCCACCACCACCACAACGACCACTCCAGCTCCCTCTCCTTGCCCCACTCGTGGTGCTGCTGCTGCGGCTACTCTTGCAGCTAGCTGCGCTACTCCTGTTGCCATTATCTCTGCCCATGCTACCGACTGCGATGTTACTGGTTACTCAGTAGTTGGCGTTGTCATCGTCATCCGTGTCATAATTTTGTCGACCTCCGCTGCACTCATCAGCTTGGTCGGGCGACGATAGTTGCTTGCCACCATCGGATGGCTCAGGCTGCCCCGCTGCTCTTCCCCATGTACACCGTCGCCGCAGACGTGCTCTTGAAGATGACGAAGGTCGAGCCGCACGAGGATTTGAAGGCCGGAGGCAAATTCAGAAATGAAAGTTTGGTCAGGGAGCATGTGTGGTTTGGTTGTTTCTTCATGTCGGTCGTAGCACGTGGGAACCCGCGGCAACAACTTGCAGAAGATATTTGCGCACGCCTAGATCCCAAGCTCCAAACTCCACCCCTCCTGTCCGCGACTCGAAGTCCCCGTTCGGGCCTTAAAAATGCCGGTCAGAACTGTTCCGGGTTTCTCTGGGGCCCTCATCCATTCTGCGTCGAGGCTCGTGGCGAGCTCGTGGACTTCAGCGATGGCTTGGGAAAGGCGGTGTTCGTTTCGCACCAGTGGCTTAGGAAGAAACACCCGGATCCCGAGTTCAGGCAGATGCGCACTCTGCAGGATGCCGTAAAGTGGATCTTGAACAGCTCAGGGTCTCTTTCCCTGGACCCGGCCACGGAAGCCGTGGTGCCAACGGCCAAGCCCCGTCCCATGAAAGACTTTCAGACAATGGCACTGTTCTTCTGGTACGACTATTTCTCCTGTCCGCAGCTGCACCACGCGAGTGAATATGTCGTACAAAAAACAAACAGCCGCCTCCAGCAAGCCAATGCCATCAGCAGCATCCCAGCATACGTAGGCAGGTGCCACTTTTTCCTTGCAGTTTGTCCGGTTCTTGACTGCCCCGTCGAGGGCAGGGTGCTGTCAGCATCGACCTGGAGCAGCAGAGGGTGGTGTCGCCTAGAGCGAGCAGCACGCGAGCTGTCGCCAAGCAGTACTTGGATTGTTGTTCGAAGCGAAACTTCCATTGAAGCGGTTGGCACAGTGCTGTCCTTTCAGAGCGGTGCCGTTGGGGAAGGCGACTTTGCTGTCCCGGAGGATCGGCAGAAGCTGGCCCCGGTGATGCGGAAGATCCTCATGAAGAAGCTGAACCACTGCCTGCGAGTGGGCGACTTGCCCGCATTCCGGCGCCACTTCAACCTCCAGACGGTGTATTTGCGGGGGCTTGACATTGCGCCAGTGGCCGGCCTGCTACCCAGCTGTGAGGGTGGTGATGATGTGGTGTCGGAGTTCCTGCACCAAAACGGTTTGAGGACGGTTGGCTCTGCCGACAGTGCTGGGTGGCGGCCTCTCCACTATGCGGCACTGGGCGGCAATCTAGAGGTGCTGCGAGGCCTGCTGCAGAAGCGTGCCGAGGTGAACCGGCGCACATGGAAGGATGAGCCGTCGCTGGGCTTTCCACCGTGGATGTCGGCATTGGATCTGGCGGTGTTTTTCAAGCATCACGAGGCCACGCGGTTGCTTCTTGCGGCGAGAGCACACCTCAAGGGCGGACTTTCACCCGCAGTCATCCTTGCAGCCGCGAGAGACAATGCCGAAGGTATCCGACTGCTGTGTGCGTCGGGTGCCGATCCGCTGGCGCAGAATCTACTTGGAAACCCCACCTTGGGGTGCGCGGGTGGCCTGGCAGCCAGAGAGGCCCTGGAAGAGTTGCTGGTGCAGGGACGCCCAAGCTCCATGGATCTTTCTCGGGCGCTCTTCGATGCCACGATGCTTTTGGGTGGATCGGCTGAGTTGGTGCAGCGGTTGATCAGCCTGGGAGCTGACGTTGACTTCCAGTTCGACATGTCACGGGATTGGAGGAGACTGGGCCGGCTGCTCCTTGCAGCAAAGTCCATGCAGCACCGACTCGGCCGTACGACCGCACTAACAGCCATCGCTTATCATGTGCATGGCAGCACGCCGTTGATGCAGGCCATCAGGTCGGCTCAATTTGACGGCGCCGCGGCCCTGATCGCTGCCGGCGCCAGACTAGATCTCTGCAATTGCCGGAAGTGGACCGCGGCGGACTTTGCTCGCGGCCAGTCGATCCCACATTTTCTGCAGCTGGGCCTGGAGGGGGATTTGTCCGAGTGCCGAAGGGTGTCATTGCTCGCACAGTCGACCAGCGTCTTTTCGATTTGACATGATGTGATTTTGAATGCAGTGGAGATGTCAGACACAGCTTCATTGCACAGCTTTTCGGAGCTAGAGTCACTTGTGGCAAGCATGGATCGGGATCGATTCCGCCACGGCTTCAGAAGTACGACTATGGTACCCAAGCTGAACTAGCCGTGACTTGTCGGTGACTCCACGCTCGTACGACTGCACAAATTTTAAAACCCTATACCCTTCAGGCGTACTTCCACCCTGCTGACGAAGCCCCATGAGCAGGGGGCTTCCCGCCGGGCAGAAAATCCCAACATATCCCACACTTATCGTCGTAGGTGTTGTGAAAAGAAGATTCCCTTCTGCTTGCCTGTCGTGTTCTTCCGTGTGCAGGCTTTTGGCGCAGCCACCAGCAGTTCGCTAGAACTTCCGAGGATTCGCGAGAACTTCAGGTCACGGGTCGCAACACGAACGTTTAGCTTCCGCGGGTTTTCCGACACCTGCATTAGAGACCCCTCAATCTGAAATTTTGGCAGCTAAGCAAAAAAAGGGGGCGCAGACACCTGCGCTCAGAAGCTCTCTCTCGCCGCAGGGTTTCGCAGGCAAGGCAAGGCTTATGCGAGGGTTTTGTGGATTTTTCCTGAAAAGCACAGTTGAGGGCGAAGTGGAGCCTAGTAACTAGTAGCGCGTATAGTGTGTTTACATATGCAGATATGCATGACCAAGCTACTCAAGCTGTATTATCAGTATCAGGCCATTCTGAGGGCAGGACCTTTAGATTCTGCTGTATACGGCTTTGTTTCGCTGAGAGGGCGCTTCCGCTGCAGGCCGCTGTCCTTGGACCGCCTCCCAGGGGCTCGGGGGCAGGCCTCGGGCCGCAGAAGTGCGGCCGTTCAGGAGAACCCCAAGCCCAAAAGAACGGTTTGAAGTTTTAGGGCTAAACTTTCCTGTTTCCTGAATCCTTAAACTTGCCCCGCCTCCCTAAACCCCTAAGCCTTCATACCTTGAGGCCCAGGTAAACTTTCGCCCAAAACGATAGGCTGCCGGCTCAAGGTCGGAAAGAGCCGCAACGGAGTCGGAGGCCCTAAACCCTAAACCCTAAACCCTAAGTTTAGGGCGATTCTGCCCAGACGTTTTCAGGATGTCTTGTATCGCCAGGCTTATTGTGGTTGGGCGGAAGCTGCAGGCACTTGAGAGACTGTGTAGTATCTCTAGTATCATTTTCAGTAGTAGTTCTTGTGCATTGTTGGGTGAACTCGAAAGTTGCGATTCTCATGCCATGGCCTGCTGTGTCGCCAAAAAGTCCCGGACGCCTCTGGAGATCTATGCCGGATCGCTGCCCGATGACGCGGACGCCACTGGGCATCCTACGGGTCGAAAGCTGAAGCTCCCAGAACCCCAAACCCGAAACCCTAAACACCCCTAAACACCTAGACCCTGAAGCCCTAAAGCCCTAAAGCCCTAAAGCCCCAAGCCCTTAGTCACCCTTTAAAGGGAGTCCTAAACCCTAAACTTTAAGCCCTCAGCTCCGAGACCCTTCCTAGCCTGGCAGGGCCTTCGTGGGCTTGGTAGGGCACCAGGCAGTTATCACGATGATAGTTGTATGTTACGGCATGAACCGATCAACAACTAGAGTTAACAACCGCGATGGCAGAAACATCTTCTACTTTTCTAGCTTCCTCTTGCTAAGCTATTTGCGAGTATTATCACAATCACATGATTGATTGACTTGTCTACCACAGCTGCTACATACGACTGCTGTTGCTGCAGCTGCTGC